GGCACCTCTGGCTTATTCATCCTAAAATTGCTCTCTAAAGAACTGGGTATTGAGGAGGGGTATGTAAGTTTTAACAAAGAGGAGTCAACTGTTGGCTTAAGCATTCTCACTGGTACCTTTCTTCCAGAAAGGAAAAAACCCTTTAGTCACTAAATAAAAGAAAAAAAGATCAAAGATTGTCTTCATCCCTACCTCCCCTTTTCTGATAATTGCTCTGAGCTTGTCATCCAGATGTTGCATGCCTCTTTGGGTTCAACATAAAGTTGACTGTATCTCAAACGTACAGGTCAGTGATCTGTATTCATTCTCTAGCTAAGGTATGTAGCCAAACAGACCGCTACCTTTAAGGAAGCAAAAGTCTAAAATAACTGTTAATTACTTTATTTTCATCCAAAAGTGGTAAGCAGATTAGTGTAAAGATTAACTTCTTCCCCATTTAGTTATTAATAGATTAGCTGTGTTAGGGTCTCAATTCAGCTTTCATTTGTGTTAAAAGCTTTAAACAGTGTTGCATTAAAATATCTAGTAGTATCACTGAAGGAGCTGACTAGCTCTTTCTGATGGCACTCAGGTTTTCTTTTGTACCAGTAATTGATTTCCTTCTTAAGAACTTGAAGTGCGTGTTAAGATGTAGTTTTGGCTGGATATTCACATATATTTTAAGATAGTATGATAGGCACCCTATCATACTACCATTCTCACCCCTGTCAGAGTGGTGAGAACCCTCTGAAAGTAGGAGAACTGTGTTGATGAAAAACTGCTTGTGAATCTCAGGAATTTTGGATGCATCTGGAACAATTTTGGGGGAAATGAAGGTAGCATAGGGCGCTTCCCCAGATTATTTGGAGAAATGAACTAGTAGTCTACATCCTCATCTGAAAGGGGTATTTTAACAATACCTTGATGCATGGATTATTGTTAGTGAGATGAATTCAAAACCCATGGTGCATTATGCCTTTGCTTTTCAAGGCTGTTTAATACCTATTTTAAAAACTGTAGGGGAGATTCACTATTGTTAAGGGTTTTAACCATCAAATGAGATGTCATTTTGACTAGAGGAAAAGCATCCCGTCCTAGCTTTGTCTCCCTGTAATCTCATATCAAAGGATGGTGTCTGAAGTGCTCTTACGCAGTAAGCTATGATCTGGAGCGAGAAGAAGCAGAGAACTCTTACCTGCTTTTCAGATTCTGAACCTCTTTCACTGACAGAGGAAGGATTCCACAGCTAAAATTCAAAGAAGGTACAATTCTTATTTCGCTGCAAAGCTTTACCCTGAGCTGCATGTAATGTATTTATTCCTCTGTGTTCGGGGTATGCAGGATATTGCAGGGACAGTGTGCTAGTTCAGTGGCATGGCAAATCCATTTGTGTGAAAGGAAACTCCTTGGGAGAAGAAGGCAAATTTAAAAAAGGACCCGATTTATCCACAGCTTGCTCATTAGGAATACATTGCTGCTTTTGTTAAGCACAGTAATTATTTGGTATTCTGGCTCTCGCTAGTTTTATTTTTTTTATTTTTTTTTTTTTGTGCAACCAAGTTCTTCCTAAAGAGATCAGTATTTTTTTGATGCGATCACATACATTGTCTGTAAATAAACAGGAAGCCTGTTTTTCCTGGTTACAGCAAGAATATAGGTTTCTTATTCGGGGTGATGTTTTGCCAGTGGCTTTCTGCCTAAGATGGGAGAGATGTTGCCTGTACTCCTTCTTTTTCCTGAGTAGCTGCCTGTTTTTGAATTCCACAAGTTCGTATGTGTTAATGATGACATGTGACAAAGGAAGTGTCTCGGGATAGCTCCAAATAATTTGAATAGTCTGGACTTTAGCCTCAACTTGGGAAGAATTTGATTCTCTTTTATGTTCCAGACAGGTAACTATGAACATTCATTCATCCTTTTAGTGCCCTCTTTCCTTTTGGGGTTGTTAATCAAATGAGACCATTGCTATCCCAAGATCGAAAAGAAATTAATGACATGCTTTTGTTTTAATGTGATTTAATCAACTGAAATTGGATTTGATCCAGAGTTGTTTAGATGCATGTATAAAAAATGCGATGGCTGCGTAGTGTCATGTCGTAATTCTATATTTTTTTCTGAGGTTCCCGTATGCAGCATAGCTGTTCCAGGACATCACTGCAAGGGACTCTTTAGCTGACTTGGTGTGTGCTGTTTACCTGTTCAGAGGGCTTACTTTTTGCTCTCATTTGCCTCATTTATATTTTCTTATTTTTTATTCTTTTTCATTTTTTTCATCTTGGTGCTGTTGTCAGACTGTTCACAAAATGTGACTCCTGCAGCTGTTACAGGAAGGCTGTTCCAAAACCTCAGTTCTCTGGTTACTATAAACCACCTTTAGTGGTCAGGTTTTATTTGACTTTATGCCAACTCTTTAGTTTGCCTTGCACAACTGTATTTCTTTTCTCCATGGTGCCTTCCCCTAAGGGCCTTTTGGAAGATTTTTGGCATGGTAAGGTGAAGAGTATTGGCTGTTCTTGCAGGAAGGAAGCAGAAAGGGAAAAAAGAGAGGGTCATTTGGTACTTGCGAGGCTGAACAGTAGGCAGGTTTGAGTAGTGAGGTGTTCTGTCGCAGTGTGACACAGTTTTTTGTTTTTTTGTTTTTTTTTTTTTTTTTTTTTTTTAAAGACAAGGCATAGCAGCTTGTTAAAAACATCCTAGCAAAAACAGTAAAAGGAGTCATATCCTGTTAGGCTTAGTTTTATAGGATTAAGTAAACAAAGTTCTCCTAGTTGCTTTCTGTTTCTCCAAGAGCACTGGTAGTGATTTCCACATTACTTTTAGGTATTTCTGCAGGCAGCATAGTTAAGACAGGTATCAAACGGTACTGCCCCTTGGTTGTGCTGGACAAGCAGAAGTGTCTGTGGGGCTGTGATAGAGATTGAATCAGGTAGCTGATCTGGGTCAGTGTGGTTGAACTGAACACTTGGCTTCGTCTTGCTTCAGCACTACACAACTGACTTTATCAGCAGTATTTGAAATGAGCGACTTATGGTTAACATAAGCAGGTTTGACAGGCTAAGAAAGTTGGGGCTGTTCAGCCTGGAGAGGAGAAGGCTGCATGGAGACCTCATAGCAGCTTCCAGTGTCTGAAAGGGGCCTACAAGGATGCTGGAGAGGGACTCTTTATCAGGGACTGTAGTGATAGAACAAGGGGTAATGGGTTCAAACTTAAACAGGGGAGATTTGGGTTAGATATAAGGAATAAATTCTTTACTGAGAGTGGTGAGGCACTGGAACAGGTTGCCCAAGGAAATTGTGACTGCCCTGTCCCTGGAATTGTTCAAAGCCAGGCTGGATGGGGCTTGAGCAATGTGGTCTAGTGTGAGGCATCCCTGCACATGACAGGGGGTTTGGGACTAGATGATCTTAAGGTCCCTTCCAAACCAAATAATTTTATGGTTCCACATGTGTCTTCTATGAGGCTTGTGATGCCTGATTTGTTCAAGTATCGTTGGTGACTTTTTGCTAAAAGCATCATGCTATGGCTCATAGTGATCACTTAAACCCCCCTGAATATTTTCTTCCCTGTTCCTGTAGCAGGGCTTTTTAGTCCTCATGATTTAATTGTCTGTCTAGTCTTAAATGCCATCAGCTTTTTTTTTTTTTTAAATGCCAGCTTGATGTCCTCCCAATATCTTCAGAATAACTAAACTGAGGTTGTCACTGTCTTCTACAGTCACCTTTTAGGAATTTACAAAAGAAGAATGTTTCCATATATAACAACTGCTATTTTAGTTGAGGGCATCACCTTGTTAGAAGTACAAAGTTGAGATTTAAGGCTTTTTAGAATGTGATTAACATGTGTGCTTTGGATCAAAGTTGTTAATATAATTCCTGCCTTTTAGATAATTCAAACTTCTTTTAAATTGGCAAATTTAGTCACTGTATTTACCAGCAATACCTAAATGTATTGAGTCAGGATGATTTTCCCCCCCCCCAACCCTTCCTCTTTAGTTCTTTCCACTTTAGCCTGAAAAGGACCAAGTGGTCTTATTCTTTTGCATGTAAGGTAATTACAGCGACTTCACTTCAGAAGTGTTGCAAATGAGACTGCAAAGTCTGTGGATAGACAAGTTGCGTAAGTGACTTCAATCCTCTTTATCTTTTATAACATGTAATTTCAGTGCTTACAGAAATTCTCTACAAGCTATTTGCTTGGCATCATACTTTTCTTAGGACAAAAGACTTGTTTGACTAAGACTATGTTGGTCTTGATTAACTCTGAAATAAAACTAAAACTCTGTTAACAGAGAGAGCTTCCATGCCTTGTGTTTATACTGTCAACATCACCATGACAATTTCCTTCCAGCCCCATCCTGTCCAGAAAGGACATGGGAGGAAATAGTTGGCTAGTTTGCCATTAATGCATATACTCTCTTATCAAAGGCCCATGTTACTGAGCTATATTGCTTGCAAATAACTATTATCTTACTCTTACTTCCTTTTCCCCTTCAACATGAAGAACCTAAACGAAGGCAACTTATAAAAGCAGATGTTGCAAAGAGGAGCAAAATGGATCATATTTTGAATTGAGGAAATAGCTGTTGCTCTAGCTGCACTCCAGTTGTATACAAACAGTGATTTCTGTGTGGGTTAGATTTTTTTGGGTTGGTTTGTTTTTCCTGCACATAGGAAATGGAAGACTCGTTGGGAGTCTTCTTCCATTGAGTATAAAATGGCAGAAGTAAAATTTACAGGTGCACATTAGCTGGGCAAAGGCTGAGTTCATAAGTGATGGTTTCTGTGTGGCATGTGGAAAATAGGTTAGTTTCAGGCAGTAGAGAATAATCTGACCAACTTTTAATGTTTATGGATGTGCGGTGTCACTTAAATGGTTAAAAACCATTCCTCCCTCCAGTATTTCTGGATCTTTTGTTAGCCCTCCAGCTGACCTTGTGCTGCCTACTCCAGGATGAAGTGAGCACATTTGTCCTGCTTTTTGTCAGATTGATTAATCACAATCTTTTTCTTTATTTTTATAGAGCAAATTCGATTAAAGAATATAAGAAATGTATATGGAAGGTGCTTGTGGTATCGTTTGCGACTGTTAAAACCACAACAAAACGTAATTCCTACAGTAAAGTAAGTACTTTTCATTTGCATGGATTCCCATTAAAGCAATTCCTACATTTTTATTTTTATAAAAATGCTTTTTTTTTTCCACTCCCCAATCAAAGCTGCTGTAATTTTATATAATGATGATGTTTGTGTCATAGAAGAGACATTTGCAGTCTGCTCTATTTCAGTAATTAAGAGTTCATCATTGTTATCTAGTAGAGCTTGAAATCAAGATGGGTGCTGTTTGTCCTTTGTAAAGTATCTGTTTAATGAAATCAGTGAACCTCAGCACTAATAAATAAGATGATGTATTTCTTCATTTCTTTGTTCCAAAAAATAGTCCTACCTCACTGAAGTTAGTGGTGCTAGTGATGTCTTTTGGTTTAAGTATTTAACATGCAAATGTATATATTCAAATATACAGGAGTAATAATTTGTATGTTTGAAGTTGATGGTTATATATCCTTCAGTTCCTTGTTTATTACTCCCACTATCGGAATATTTTGCTGTCTGTTATGCATCTATTTCAGCCTTTTTTTTTTTTTTTTAATTGACTTTATGTAGGATCAGGTTAAAGTCATCCTTTAAGAATAGGAAATACTATTGTATACCTGCTGAGGACAGTTAAAGAATGGAAAGAGTCTTTGTTGATAGTGCCTTGCCTTTGTTAGAGGGGAAAAAAAGGGAGAAAAGAATAAAAGTCAGAGCAGCTGTCTTATCTGTGTCAAATGTGGTGTTATAACTGAAATACTCATGCTTTAATGTTCCTTGCTATTTTAATAATGTTTCTTGCCATTTTAATATTGTTTCTTGAAGACTGATATCAAATGGTTTCTTATGTTGTTTGTAGAATTATGCTAGTCCTAGTGGATTTGTGCATGTAAATTTGTTTGTGTTTGGTTTATTTTTTTATTATTTTTTTTTCTTACAAACAGGAAAATAGTCCTCCTTGCTGGCTGGGCATTATTTTTGTTTCTTGCATACAAAGTTTCCAAAACAGATCGAGAGTATCAAGAATACAACCCTTATGAAGTTTTACATTTGGATCCTGTAAGTAACAGCATCCTTCGCTAGTCTGTACTACTATAATGGTATGTTCTATGCCTAGATGTCAAATTTAGGGCTTGTGGTTTTTTGTAAACGAAATAAGTTAACTTTAGTGAATGCATCTAGTAGTTTTGTTCTATATTGGCATATGAAAGTTGCTGCTGCATATTGTCAAGTCAGTCATTAGATATTCTTTGCCTATATCTGTACTAATTTATAACTTTTTTGTATTGAACTCCTTCAAAAATCTAATGACTTTCTTAATATAGTGAGGTGAGAGTTTTAAATCTATTTTGAATCTTTACTCTGATGTTGTGGTACAGGAAAGCAAAAAAGTCATTCTGCTTTGCATATCCTGTGAAAATTGTCTCAATAGACATTTCTAGAGATGCTGCTGAATAAACTTTGTAAACAAGAATGTGGATTCATTTGATTTACAGTTCTACAGCAGTATTTCTCTTGTAAATGAAAGGTTTCACTCATTTTGATGTAGTAAAGGTTACCTCAGATCTCAGTTGTATGCAAACAACAAATTCTACATAGTAACACCAGCCAGTTGGTTTATTAAACTGCAGGGTTGGGAAGAGAAAAAATATAGTATTTATCTAGAAAACAGATGCAGTGCTTTATTTATATTGAAGGTCTGATTCAAAATGGGTGTAAAAAATTATATATCCCAATGAGAGAGGTAGGACCCTCTGGACATCTCTTTTACTTAGTTTTGTCAGACTCTTCATCCTAAGCACAATACCTTGAGCAAATTCTCTGTTAATTATTTCCTGACATAAAGGTCCTCTTTTGAATAACAGTAGAGTCATCTTTTCAGCTCTGAAGTCTGAGGTATGTTTTACTCATCGGTCTAAGGAAGTACACTGTGCATACTGCTCAGCACAGTAATATGGAATAACTTTGAATGTACCTGTTTTGATTAAACTTGATGTTATATTGTTAGTGTGGGAGAGTTTCCTATGTATATGAATATTAACAAATACATCTCTTGCCATTAGTAATGGGGCTTGGTCAGCATAAGGATAGTATCATTCGTACTGCTATTTTATGGTAAGAAAGCCATTATAGGTAGACTTTAGCCTTTTTCTGGCTGGACAGGTAGAACAAGATCTGCCTGTCATGTGCAGAGGCAAGTTATTTAAATTCAGCCTCTGCGCAGTTCCTTTGTGAATGACTGACTGCTAACTTGCTTCTCTCACTGGCGCACAGGAACAAGATACATTTTTATTATTGAATGGTGTCTGCTGGAACTGTGCAGTTTAAACAGTTGTGTATCTGGGTTCACTTTGGTTAAACAAGTCAGGCGAGAGATTAGGTCATCAGAGGATTTTCTTTTGTCGTCTTTGGCAAATTTCTACAAGTAACAACCCTGCGGGGGGAAAAAGTATATAAGTTAATGTTTATTAGTGAAAACTTGTACGCATGCTCAAGACACATGCAACTTGCCCAGGTAAAGAAACCAATACTGGAGTGCTCCAATAACTGATGAAGGGATGGAACATATTGTCATAAGGACAAGCCGAATTAAAACCAGAGATGTTACATGAGGGATGAAGAGATGGGTGTGAAGATAGATCAGTTGAAGTTGGGCTCAAAATAGTCCAAATTTCCAGAGCCTGTTTGTTTTATGTATTTCTGTGGTATCAGACAATGTCTGTTAAATCCCCTCAAAAAACTTGTAGTTCAGGCTACATGGAAAGTGAACAGCTTTCTTCTGTTAATATGCGAGTGAAGCCTTTAGAGTCATTGCCAGCCCTGCTGATGTTGGAGTGATTCAGACATTGATACAGATGTTGAAGTGCTGTTGGATAATGAAACTTTTGTTGCTGTTAAAAAACCAAACTAAAAAAAAAAAAAAGTTGCAGATAAAAGCGCTTGAAAATTTTGGTACGCAGTAATTCATTTGCTCCTTTGCATTCACGCTGTGGCCAAGATTGTTTGGTTTTTTTCTTATGTTAGCATATCAACTTATAACAAGAGGTTTTTTTTCTCCCTAGAAGAACCACAACATGGACAAAGTCCAGATTAATGTACATGCACCTTATTTTATGAATAATATCAGCACTTTGTTTTGGACACAGAATAGCTCTCTTTTGAGCGCATCACTTAAATTCACTAATACACATGGCACTGAGGTACTATTACTGGTTTACTGAATAAGTATCCTTACTGCCATTTCACAGGTGGGATCCAACACATAAAGATGAAGCTCAAAACTGATTATAATATTGGATTCTTTAAGTAAAGACAATCGAGGTCTTTTTTTTTTTTTTCCCCCCCCCCCATAAGTAGTTAATACAGGGAAGCTCCATGTTGCAAGCAGAGTGCTGATTGACATCAACTGTCCTAGGCTACTAAGCGTTTCTGTAAGTCAGGCCTAACCACTGTAGCCTAACTTTTGGGAATGAGGAGTAAGCAATTAATGATAGAAAGTTTATCATCAGCTTGTCAGGAATCACATGCACCCTCTGTTGCAGAGAGAGAAAAAAAATAGGCTAAAGTAACAGCAAATGAAGCCTCAGGGTAGTTAAATTTCTGGTTTAAATTATTGAAACAGTACTATCATCTTTAACTTCTTGTGTGTTTATTATGCAGTTAAGGTCAGCATGCTAGGCTTCTACCACAAAATGGTAAAAGTCCTGTAATAATGGTTCTGTGAAACTTAACAGGTAGCTTAGTAGAAAATCTTTATCTGTACTTTCTATAAAGTTTTGTGGATTTTCTTGAATATTGAAGTTCACAGACCAACCTGAAAGTTAATGCACAGGGGTTGCATTTGGGATTTAAGTATGCTGTAGTAGAATAAAAATCAATCTCTTTCTCAGGTATAGGTAATATATTCCCTTTGTTCGAGAAGCTTGAAGTAAGTTATGGATAGGATGCTTCTAGTCAAAGGCATTCTTAAGTGAAAGGGCAATCTGCTGTTCCTGATGACTGACAGATTTATTTCTGCCTGCAAGGTGCAAGTGAACCGTCATACTTGATCTATGAACTCTTGCTTAGATGGAAGAATACTGCAAGTGAGAATCTTGTATTCATGAATATGTTTAGGAAAAGATTTGTCAAACAGATAAGAAGGCTTTACATTTTTTTTTCCTCCCTATGGACTGATGAACAAAATAATCCAGAAAAAAACAATACCCAGTCATCTGAATGTCTTTTTGTTAGACTCTGACTTTGATCTAAAAATACAGTGGTTATTAAAACGTTATTAGAAAAATAGTATAATCTTGTTTCCATGAAATACATATGGAGTTTCATTATCATATGCTAGAACCTAGTTCTTTAGTTCAGTGAATGGTTCAGAGAAATATTACATGATGTGCTTTACAGATACAGAGCAATGGATTTGATTTAAGGTATTTATTAACAAATAACTCAAAACTTTCCTTTTTAAGGGAGCAAGTATATCAGAAATTAAGAAACAGTACCGTGCACTATCGCTAAAATACCATCCAGATAAAGGAGGAGATGAAGTCATGTTCATGAGGATTGCTAAGGCCTATGCAGCGTAAGTTTCTTTTTTGTCTATAAAAAGAAAAAAGGGAACTTGATGTTACCAGTGGGGAAGCCTTTAAGGTAATAGCACAGATGGCCTAAGCAGACAGGAAAAATGTGTTTGGATATGTGATGAAGGTGAAAACATGTCTTGGTTCAGTGCATGTTTGCCTATACAAGTTAGGAAGGATAATTGTTTAGCAACTGTCAGAATGCTGTAAGATGTTATGTCTTTGTATTAAACTTCTGTGTCAACTAGGAGAAATGTTTCCTTTATGATACATATTAAGCCTTAAACATGACAAAGAACAAAATGGGTTGCAGAAATTCTGAAGCACTGCTTAGAAAATAAATACAGTGTTCATTTCACCTGGTGATAAAGCCAAAGAGTAAGGAAGAGTATTTTAACTCTGTTCTCATCTAACAACAAAGATGTTTCATTCTGGTTCTGACACAGTTTTCTGTCGGCTCCCCTGTGTCCCTTTGCATTTGAGCTTGCCTTGCAGTCCTGATTATTCATTCAGTGACTGTTTCATATTACCTGTGTAGATCTTTTAAGATCCTTTAAGCTGTATCCTTGAATCTTCTTTTCCTTCAGAGTACTTTTTTTTGGTCTCACTTCTACTTATAGCTTGCTTTTTTGTTTGTCTGAGAGATGACGGCTAATATTAGAATTTGGTATAAAGGAGATCCCTTTCTGTTGAAGTTTTCCATAATCAAGATGTGGGTTTGGGATTTATAATGCTGTTCATATGTGGAATGTTAATACAGCATTGTAGTATTTTTCCATTCTAAATCATCATGTCAGAATCCAGTAGTATCTGAACAGGGTGGTGGGGTGGTTTTATTTTTTTTAATTTTTTTTAATAAATATTCTATATGTGGGTTTAATATCAACTTTGCTTAGATGCTACATGCAACTTCTGATTTAGCAGAGTGATACATTTGTATTGTGTTTTCAGTATAATTTTAAGTGAGACTTAGTAAAATACAGGAATTTCAATACACAGTTCAATCACAATACCAATGTGATTCCCATTACCTGTCTCTCTAATGCTGTCAAATGCTGGGTGTCCCCAGGTGCTGGCAAGGCACTTGTGGATTAAAGCCAGCTTGAGCCTGTTGGGCTGAGTCAGGTATGCACTCTCCCATGCTGGTCTCACAAACATACTTTTTTAATGTACTCAAGAAATGTTTATACTACCAGTTAATCTGTATGTGTATATCTCAAACAAGGGCCACCCACCAGTCCCCTTTGTGTTGAAACAGTTGGCTTCTTTGCAGCAGCTGTGGTGAGTCACTGTGTCCATGCCCTCTGAGCCTTTTTCCACTGTAGGGGTTTATTAGGTTAGTCATGTCACCGGAGAAACTAGCAAGCTGGTGATTTTCTGCTTTTAAGTCATTTGTCTATGTGTTTGACCTTAGTGACTGAGAGTCCTGTTTGGGTTGAGGTGAGGAGAAACAACACCATGCTCACTTGAGCAGTTTTGAAATCATACCTTCCGCTTAAACACATCTGCATCACTACTGAAGTCTCTTCAATAGGGTATAGGAGTATTGCCTTCTGAACTCCTGACACATCTCAGTTCTTTGTTTTGCAAGTTAGCATTCAAATGCTTAGTATGATACTTCAAAGGCTACTGCAAGGACTCTGGCAGGAGTCTGTTTTGAAGTAAATGACAATGAAGTTCCTTAGTCATGCTGTCTTGAAAGAAAATAAAAGCTATCCATTCAGTGAGTCTGCTTGTTAACAAATGTGAGACTTAAAACTGATCAGGAGATGTCTGACTTGTTCACTGGATTTCTTCTGTGAAACCACATCTTCTGTATAGGGATTGCCTGGTCTTCTCTTTCCTAAAGCACTATTCTTCCAGTAACAGGGATTCTGTTTGAAGTGGTATATTATTGCCAAGAAACTATTGTTAGAGAACAGGCATAGAAACTAACGTTTAGGAGGTAGTGTCTTAACTTATTTTTCTCTCTTCTTAAATATGAAACTAGGGAAAAAAAAAACCAACCCACCCAAAGGAAAAAAAGCCATCAAAGGCTGAAAGTCTAGAACTAGAATTAAAAGCCCATATGGACAACTGCTCTATCAACTCAACTTGCATATTCACCTTTCTTCCAAAAAAAGATAATGTTTTCAACTTTTGTTGTCTTTAAAGATTTGCTGTACTGTAGTCTGGCACTGGAATGTGCTCTTTGCTGACGGATATGCAGTCCCTCTCATGAAAGGGAGATATGATCCTTCCGTCCCCCGTATGAGGGTGCACCTGTGTCAGATTTCTTTTGTTGTCAAAGTGCTTAAAAGAATTTGCCTGCATATCATGGGGGAATGCAGCAGTATCATTTCATATCAATTTTCATAAAAACAATAGGAGAAGCTATTTAGCTTGCCAAACCATTTCTGAAGGATAGTGTAAATGGCACATTTTAAAGTTTCTGTATGTTAATGATTTAGAGAAATGTCTTCTGTATTAACTCATATTTTTTCTTGAAACTAGTTTAACTGACGAAGAATCGCGAAAAAATTGGGAAGAATTTGGTAATCCAGATGGACCACAAGGTAACAATTATGAATGATAGAAGTCCTGTAATTTCTGTGCATTGAGCTGTGTAATATCTGATCATGTGGGAAGCACTCAGATCTTATTATATACAGAATAACTTTTTCCTGTGATTGAAGCAATGCATTGCATCAATTCTTTGCTTGTGAAACTGGCTCTGGGGTGATGGCAAGATGGAGAAGTAGGTAAGAGTTTGTTTTCACATTTCTCAAACTTATCAGGGAAAAAGAGAAGGGTATTCTTTAGCGAGCCTCAGTAAGTGTTTAGAGAAACATGACAATGTTAAAAGGAGGTATTAGTATTTATTATCAGATATGATAAATGTATATTGAAAAATTAACAACTAGCCATAATGCAATAAACACACTTCAAAAGGATGTATGTGAGGATATGTATGTCTTTAAATAAATACTGTATACGCATCTGCTGTCCATTTGCTGGAAGCAGTACTGTTTGAGTGTAGCTCTATGCCACCTTCATCTGAAGTAGTCTTAGTAATTATCCTTATGCTGATAGATTGTTCCTGGGCAGGTAGCTACATGAAAATAATCCTGATGATGGTATATTAAAGTTTTACAGTAGATGATCCAAACTATAACTATTTAATACTGAAAGCTAATAGGTCACTCCCCCACCCCCTAATCTCCTATTTGCAGTTGTGTGAGTCACTTTTGAAACATCTTTGTGACCGTTGTTTAAGCGGACTGGTTATGAGGGAGAAAAAATGTGTATTTCTAGCTGAATCTTGATACTCATTACAAGCAAAAAAGTAAACCTGCTAGCTGTTAAGACAGGCCTCTATAGATCTCTGCTTGATGCCCTGCAGTTTGCAGGACTAAATTATGCTACATACCTATGTGGAATGAGTTAAGCTGACTTGGAAGTAACAAATGGAGTTTGAAACTTAATTGCAAAGTTACAGGATGATGTGTGGGAGCTCTGTGCTGGAAATTTATTCTTCTGAATTATATCCATCCAACAGGGGAAATGAATTTTTAATAGAGATCCCTCTCCCAGCCTCTTAGTTAGTGTTTCAGAGAAACAATCTTCTCTCTCCTTCAAAAAACTGTGCCGACTAAATCATAGTCTGACAAAGGCATTTTTGGTGGGCTAAGGTGGTGACTCAGTTTGATTAACCAGTGTGTTCTATAACATAGCAGGTTTTTCAGCTCTTAGCTTCTCTTGGTTTCTTAACCAGGCAAGTAGGAGGACTCTGTTCCTCTTGCTGCAAAATACAAATAAGATCTTGCTTCTGAAATGCTGTCACAACATCAGCGAAATGGTACTGTAAATTTTAGTGTGGTATATGCACGAATAGCTTTCCTGGGACCTTTACTGAAGCTAAACTGGTTTTTTGCATCCATAAGTTACTAACTTTGTGTTGCCGAGGCATAGGATTTCAAGTTAGGCAGCATGTCAGTGTCCTTGAATGGACCTGAAGCTGTGACTTCAAAAAAAAAAAAACCCACCCACTCAGCCAGAATCTGAGCATTTAAAGGTATGAAGATTGGTTCAGAGATCGCTTTCACAAACTGAAGGGACCAAAAAGTGAAATGAAATGATAGGTAGGGCAGCATTTCATACTGTGAGTGTAGAGCTGCCTCCTCTTCTGAAACCCAGACTACAGTGGAATTGGAATTCTCTACTTTGCTTCTAGGTCTCTCATCATTGCTTCATCTGAAGGGTGAGAAGAAGCCTGAAATTCTCTCACATCCTCTGTTCTGTAACCTTGTTCCACATTGAAGTGTGAGGAGCTTTCTAATTTAGTGAAATTCATCTTTGCTTATACACCTATAGTGTAAAAATCTGTATCCAAGCCATGTACTTGAGTTTTTTAGTTCGCATAGTCAAAGAATGGAGATAGGCCCTTATAGAGGTATATTCTGGGGTGAGATGAAGCACATGTGGTGTTAGACATGTCTAACCAAGTTAGATGAGGTTCATCCCACCCTGTGTGCCCAGCAAAAAGGAACAGCAAGCAGTATTCCTGTCTATTCAACTGAAGCAGCATGGAGGTTAGAGGCAGGCAAACAAAATTTCTTGGTTTTTGGCATGACTTGCCTCTTTACTAAAAGTAAAATACTGACTGTCTAAAATCATTTGAAGAGTGTTTAGAAGCATGGGGGTGGACCTGGAGAGTAAAAATATATGCTTTTAATAACTTTGGGCAGTTTTAGTACACTAGTTTTCGCCTTGGTATTTGCTAGTGCTTCAGCTCAGCAAGCATGGATGGGGGCAAGGAGACTCTCAGGCCAGAAGAGAGAGCTTTCTACTGAACTACTTCTGCTCCTGCAGCAGTTTGAAGCTACAATCTAATGCTCAAAAGTATTGTGGGAAGCTGGAATTGATACCACCGGTAAAAGACACATTACATTTTTAGTAGATTCTTCTAAAAATCTATAACCATTTACAGATAGGGAAGTCTCTCCAGCCTCCTCTGCAGAGCAGGGCATTACCTGTAAGTTGACGTGGTAAATTCACTGGCTGTTACTCTGTTGAACTCCAAAGCTTGAGGTGTGGTCAAGTTGGTCAGATGTTTGAGTCTCAACAAGTAAGTTTCCAACTTAATTACACAGAAGTCATATTAGGCTTGTGTGGAACGACGGGTTGTCTGAATTGATGGCTGTCCCTGTCTGTTGGAGACAGTATCAGGAAAGTATCTAAGTACATAGGGAATCCTGCTCTGTCCTTATTTAAGGCAGTACTCCTCATTGACACCTGGTACTGAAGAAAGCATGATTTTTGTTTGTTTGGGGTGAGTTTGGTTTTGTTTTTTTGTCTGGTTTTTTTTTTTGTTTGTTTGTTTTTTGTTTTTTTTTTTAAGCAGGCCCTGGGTTTACGTTTTGTCTCCTTTTTTGCTTCTTGTTTTCCTAGAACTTTTAGTTTTGGGATAAGCAGTGTTTGCAAAGTTCAGTGTATTACCACTAACGTGCCTGAAGACGAGCTGTTTTATGCTATTTCATATTCAGATCTGTGTGCTGTAGATGTTACTGTTAAAGAATCATGCCGTCTGCTTTTTTGCAGCCTAGCTCCTTTTGAATTGAGAAGTATTCCTTTCTTTTTCTTGCCAGTCACACTTTTGAACTGGCAGAGGGTTTTGTTTTTGCAATTTACAGCTTAGAACACTTTCCTGAACTTACAAAATAATAAAACTTTGCCATGGAATTCAACTGGGTCAAGCAGTTTTCTTGCATTTAATATAGTTACTGAGCTGTATGTATTTAAACTGCTGAAAACTCTGCAAGGCAAAACTCATAAGTCTTTCCATCTGTGATTTATTTTTTTTTTTAAATATATTGATCTTGCGTATCTATTTCACTTCAATATGTTAAGCTAAAATCTCTCAGATTTCAGATGTTGCTTTTAAGTCTTGCTATTTTTATTGCGTACGTGAGGTGTTTTTTTTTTTTTTTATTGCATATGTGAGTATTTATTTTGTTAAATTTGTTAAAATTTGCTCACTGAAGTGATAAATATGAGGATTATTTTTATGGACTGGTGGTTTTGTTGGGTATTTTTGTTTGTTAGACTTAATATGACTTTAAAACAATTCCTTAATATTGTATAGTGAATTTATTTTCTTTAATCCTACAGCTACAAGCTTTGGTATAGCTTTGCCAGCTTGGATTGTGGATCAGAAAAATTCAATTTTGGTGAGTCAGCTTACTTAGCTCAAAATTTTAAGGTGAACTTGCAGCTGTTCACCTTAAAATGTTTGTGCTTAATACTGTGTATTTTAGTCAAAATACATTGTTAATAATACTTTGGTCCAAGTGCATGTCTTTGAAGCAAATTTCAAGAGTCAGAAGTGCTAGAGTAGCTTAAATCAGAACTGTTTGCCGGATTTCTGTAGTTCCATTTGATTTGATAGTGATGCTGTAATCAGTGTCTAAATATCCTTCCATTTGCATTTGTTGATGCAAGGTATTTGCTTTACCTGCTTGGTTTCTTTTAATGTGGTAGTCATTTCTCCACTGCATCACATTTTAGCTGCCAACTCTTCAATTACTAAAGAAACCACTTGAGACAATGCATGGATGATTTATAAGATTGCTTATACTACGCTGATGCTCCTTACTTAAACACTACCCAACTGATTATGTTACTTGTAAGTTGTCCTTCAGAACTAATGATAGGTGTTATGCAATAAGCTTACGTTAATTTGTAGTATGTTTGTGGTAATACTTCTTGACTGTATGTTACAATAAAGGTTAAGCAAGAGTGGTATTAAGTAACTGAAGTATCTAATGCAGTATGTTTCATAATTCTTTTATAGGTTTTGCTTGTATATGGATTAGCATTTATGGTTATTCTTCCGGTTGTTGTGGTAAGTATTATCTAATTAATATGCTACCCTCTGTAACCAAGCTGTAAACAAAGCTGTCTCAGAGTGTTGCGAGGGCTTGCCTTCCATAGAGAGAGCGAGCAAGTGAGGTTTTCTTCTAAATGTGGCTGTTTTATTATGGAAAAAGTGTAGTTACTGTAAAGTTTAAAAAAAAAAAAAAATAAAATTTAGTGCCATGATAGACAGCCATAAGGGAAAATATTAGATATAGCAAGTGTTAGACTGAGTTATGTAATTTGTCTTGTACCTTCTGTCATTCATCACATGAAAATTAATGTGATGTGATGAACTTGAATGTATTCAGTGGTGTTACTGTACAGCCAAGACTGAGATGTCTGTAGCTGGTGGTACTAGAATGATTATTGCATGTGGAGCAGGTTGTTGATTTGGTTTCTCCTGGCTGCCTGTGTTTTCATAACTTCAATTTTTATTGATCTTCTGCACACCATGAGATGTGTGTTCTTGAGATTTCTTTGTGTGAGGTGAGTTGTATTTCAGGACTTGGGTTTGCCCTACCGTATTGCTTTTGAACAATGTCTCTTATCCAGTGTTGTGTATTTGGGGTATGGCATGAAGAAATACTCAGAAAATTGACACCCAGAAACCTTCATGATCTTGGGAAGGTGATTTTAATTTGAGAAAGTTTCTTGGAGTCTTGGCAACTGCTTGCATCATTCTGTGCAGAGGCTCAGCCAGGCATTATCCCTTCTCTTTGAGAGTCTTTCTGCATAATTGAAGATTTAGGATAGAAAATTAGATGTGGCAATTCCAGCAAGTTGTTGAGCAAGTAGTCTAAAATCCAGGGTACAATATCTATGTATTTTTTCTGCCTTTCCTTTTAGGTTTAAGTTGGTGTTCGTTGAAGCTTTTTTGTATACTTTTAGTGATTTATACCAGGTTTATCATAGCTCAAGTGAAAGTGAACATCCTTTCTGTTGTTAGGAAGAAATGTCCTGAGTAGCAAAAAAATAAAATCTGCTGCCTCTTGCCCGTATATGAGATGTAGACTTCTGCATTCAGACTTGTCTCTGCAAATTTCTTTTATAGTCAATGAAGAGGAATAGTAATTTTTATGGAGCAAGTTATTTTATCATTTGATTCTAAAGTAGACATTCAAGATGATTCATGGTTTTAATGGGGCTGTTTCTCTTTTATGAATCAATAAAGAAGCCAAAGTTAACTACAGTGTAGTCATCCTATATCTTAGATAAGCATCTAAAATAAGGTTAGTTCCACCCTTTGAATCCAGATCAACAAAAAAGGAAAATACTGATAACGTAGTTCTTTGTAGACCTCCACTGACCTAAATAATGTTCCGTACGTGAGGCAAGAGAGACGAGCTCTGTCTGCAGAAGCAGTTGTGGCAGCCTCTTTCATTGTAGATTGGACTGGCTATAGTTACATTTTTCTTCCATTACTTATACTTAGAAAAAAAAAAAGAAAGGATAGATATGGGATTATAATCTAAATTTTTCTGCAAAAACCTAAAAAAAAGTTGTTTATTGTTTTGTGTCATGGTTCATCTATTCATGGAAGAATCAAACCCAATTTATGAGAAAAAGATTGTGGGGACGCAGTAGTAGAGCACTTCTCAAATAGTCAATTGGCAGAATTCTTGCTGTAGTAGGGAAATTTGCACTATTTCCTATTAAATTAATAGCAGTAAGCATTACTTACTACTTTACTGCTTGTTACTTTTTGGTTGTGATAAACTTTACAATAGTTTGAGATGTATCTTGGATTTTTTTCCTCATGCTAGTGGGCTTTGCTTACAAGAAGGAGTTTAGTGAACACACTGCAGTTTATAACCCAGTACACCGTTTTTCTTAATACATGTTATAGAGTACAGTCACTGTACACTGAGTACTGTAATTTGAAGCCACTGGTGTAATGCTGATGAGGGAATTAATGGAGTCTTTCCAAAGATTTGAAAGACTTTGTTAGGCATATGGCTTAATTCTGAAAATTCGCAACAAGGGCACTGGGCCACCTCCACATTCCCTTTGTGAAAAGCGTTTTCTGATTAGATGACTTAATTTTTCCCCCTCCCCCCCAAATTTTCTTAGAATTAAAGAAATCTCTTACTTTGTTCTTGATTTAGCCTTGGTCTGCCTAAACTGAATGTGATTTGGTTACTGTGTTGCACAGTAAGGAGTTACCACCTATATAAAAGTAGTAAATCTGGTGGATTCACTGAAACACCACCAAAAATAAACAAAGCAGTGTATATGTATGCATGTGTATGCATCTGCTGGGGGGAATTCTCTGGGCTAGAGATCATCTAAAAGCTTTGAGAGTCAGATTCTGTCAGATGAATGTATGGTTGTGCTTTTAAAATTTGTGTCATCAAGTATTTTCTTGCTTCTCTTTCCTGAAATTCAGTTGATCGTAACAGAGGTGTAAAATCAGTTGGGCTGAGTTACCTGGTTGTGAACAGACAAGAGGTGCTGCAGCATAGCTGTTTCAGCTTCATCATAGCTGATGTCAATTTGTTCTTGTTAAATATTTCAGGGTTCCTGGTGGTACCGATCAATACGATATAGTGGAGATCAGATTCTCATACGGACAACTCAAATATATACGTATTTTGTCTATAAAACACGGAACATGGACATGAAACGTAAGTAACAGGCATCTTGAAATGTTGATGTGTTCATCTGGAAACATCAATCTGCTGAGGTTAAAATGTCTGCTTTATAAGCCTTTGTTAGGTTAAAATAATGTTTCTGGTTCTTTTAGAGTGTTTTTTTTAAAACTTCATTTTGTTGCAGGTAAAGAGTACTCTTTAAGAAGACGGATGTATTTGGGAGAGGGAGTTACATAGATCTATATTTATGCCTGTCTGTATACATTTAAAAAAAAAATTAAAAATATATATATTGTATGCTGACCTGCCTGTAGTCCTAAGTTACTATGTGGCCACTAGGAGCACAGCCTCTGTATGTGCATTTTCTTCTGTTAGTGTAATTAATAGGCTTTGTGAATCTTCTAGGGGCTGTCATAAACTTTTTTTTTTTTTCACCGAAGAATGAAGTAGTGTTTCTGTTTCTCTATTTTTCTTATGTTATAGTGAAATTTCTATTTAAAAACTTCACTCCCTATCAATTTCATGTTACTTTGTTGCTCATTTATGGGTTTTGATAAACTTTTCTTGTCTGCTCACTTTTAAAGGAATAAAGACCCCCTTTTCTGGGGAAGTCTGTAGATGCATTATGTTGGTGCAGAATTGGACTTTCAGTTTGGAGGCTGGCATGGGCCTGAAGAATTACCATGGTACTAGTTAGTTCTAGATTGGATTTTACTAGATTGAATGCTTAGAGCAGTTGAAAAGCAGAATGAAAAAGCCCCCAAACCCTCTAAAAAGAGTTCATAAATATATTATTTTACTCCTGTGAATTGCACTGTTCAGCTTCAAATTTGCTGGAATATTGCAAGGACTCTTGATACATACTTTCAAAAAAAAACAGAAATGCTTTGCAGATAGTCTAAGAAGTCTAGGAGATAAGAGCACATAAATACATTAGCTTTCTAGGCACAACACTCATGAATTTGTGTGTGGGATTAATTCAGACGCTCGTAATATTTTTGTGCTTTTTTACATCTCCAAACAGCTAGATGAGAAAGGAGGAGCGGGAGAGTAGGTGAGACAACTTCAAAAGTTTAGGGAGATCATGGCAAACCTGGTCTCTTCTTTCTCCAGACTTCTCAACAGTAGATTATTTTGTGTTGAACCATGCTCAGAACCATAGCTTTGAGGCTTACCTAGTTTCTTCTACAGATTGGCTAAAAAAGGTTAACCCTAAGTTTGAGTGGCGTTATTTCAGGACTTAACACTTTCAGGGAGTCCTGGGGTCAGAGACAGGTCAGTTGTTTTCCGCTGAGGTCTGTTGTGCAATCCCAATGAAAAATGAGGCACAGCTAAGGTGGCTTAGACAAACCACGGAGTGATCAGGTATGGCTTTTCCTTGGCTGTGAATTCCACAGTGGTGAGGTACCAGTGCCAAAACTCAAGGCTTTAAGCCTGGGCAATTGTAGTCAAACCGGTTTAGGGAAATGGTGAAACAAATCTGCATGACTTGCCTTGTTTTAAATATTGTTTTAAGCTTTGAGATGAATGAGTTTCTTAAACTCCTGAAGATCCACAAGTTTTTATCTTAAATGATAGGAAAGTATTTATAGTTGTCTGTAACTCTTCCATATACTCTGCTCAGGAAGTAAATAGATAATTGAGAACGGCAATGAAAATTGGTACTTGGGGAACTTGACTAGTTGTTAGTAGTTGGAATTCATAGAGCACTGCAAGTTGGCAAAAAATAACTTCGACTTGCTCAGAAGAGAACTAGCTCAAAGTTTAAGAAGCAAACCCAAGTAACTATTGCAGAAAAAGTTATTTTAACCAAAGAAAATGGTGGTGTGAGCTTCCTCTTACTGTCTATGGCTAAAGAGTCTGATATGTCCATGAGCAGAAAGCTCATAATGGGGCTAAAGCATCCCATTGTCTAGGTCTTTCATCTTAATTACATAACGGAATGCTTTAAGGTAGTATGGATTTTTCTAATCAAATCAGGTAAAGACTAGTCCATCATCTTCCTGGGATTTGTTTTTGGGGGTAAGTATTGAACTGCTTTTTTAATAATTAAATTTTTTTGGGTGAATTTTCAATGCTAACTGAACAGAAAATTGAGTTGAAATTTTACCCTTCCTGCCTCCCCCTACCATACATGCACTGTGGTGCTACCTCAGGCACATGAATTGCTGAGAAGAATGGTTCTGTGTGCATGCAGAAGTAGTCAAACTGCTGTGTAGTGATGTCTGCCAGTCGTAAAGAAGCCTAACTGTTTTTCTGAAGACATTTAGAATCGGATGCTGGACTTGAAGCCATGTAAAATGGAGCCTTGAGTGATCTCTTTTGTCTTGTGCCAGGCATTGGTTCTTGCCTCCTTTGCCCTGTGGCAGTAGTAATTGATCAACTAAATATCCATGGATCTTCACGGTTGTTGGGAGAAGAGTGGGAATAAGTTTTATGGCTGAGGGTTCTGAAGAAATCACTTGGTGGCATAGGATGTTGCTGACATTTTCTCAGTATGCCTTCAACTCTCTTTGCAGGGCTTATCATGGTTCTAGCAGGGGCATCTGAATTCGATCCTCAGTACAATAAAGATGCTACAAGTAGACCAGCAGACAACATTCAGATACCACAGGTTAGTTACATCAAGAGATGTTTTATAAATAACTGACCTCTTCAAGGGAAGAGGGGGTTGGCACTTCTTGGTGACTAGCTGACAGAATTCAAGTCCTCAAGGCATTAATTTTGTTGAGGTGCAACAAAACAGGTTATCCCTTCAGAAATGAGAATTAGAAGCTAGACTTTAATTCTTTTAAAAAGAAAAGAACATTAATTGGTGATAATACTTAGGTTAATGGAATCAGTTTAGTTTACAGACTCCTGGGTTGGGTTTTTGAGGAGGGATAAACTAAGTAGGGAATTAGAGTGTCAGTCCTTGCAAATTTTCGGTATTGATATAAAGAGGTGATGACCATTTGATAAAGTTCTTTAAATCATTAACGCAGATATGGTTAAACATGTTAATACTGAAGTAAAATTACCTGATGTCTGAATTAATGATGTCTTTAAATATCATAAAGCTTCCTCCATGAATGCCTGTTCCCCTCTGCTTGCCTTTTCTTTTCATTTCCACACAGTTTTCCCAACAGAGATGACATAATGCATAAATGTGGCAACTAATTATAGCTAGCAGAGTTTCAGGAAGTTGTAACCAACACTTTGGTTTTAAGAAGTCTAAAGCACAGTATACAAAATGATCCAATGAAAATGTTTCAGGTTTGCTAAATGAGGGATGGTGGTCTCAAAGATTTAACCTTTGCATTCACTCAATTAAATTTTCAAGTTGAAAATGTACTTTCATGTTCTAAACATAAAGAAAGTAGGCCGAGATACTTAATTGCCTTTGTCTTTCTATGAATTCCTTGTCATCTTGTGGACTTTTAAGAGAAGGAGCTGGAATTGTGGTTAGGTGAGGTTTCTCAGCGGTGGGAGCACAACTAGAAAAGATCACTTTGATTATCAGTTCTTCTGTGCTGTTGCAAGCATTGTTGTGCAACAACATGTTGTGCACAGCCCTTTACATTTAGTAATTATTTATTTAAAAGGTGATTAAGCCTTCTGTAACCATATCCTACTGAGAAGCTGTTCCAGAACTTGCTGTTATAGTTGTTAAGAATCTTGTTTGTGACCAATTTATAGCCATGGTATTTATCAGGATTATTCTTGAATCTAGATGTTTCTTGCTGTGTATATCCTTAATGAATTTATAGACAGAAGCAATAGCCCATTTGCTCTCTTTTTGTCTTTATTTTACTAAACTATGAAAGCTGCTGTCTTCTAATTCCTTCCTTCCCAAGAGGCTTACTTCCCTCATCCTGCTAATGTGCTGAACAGGGTGTTGTTCCCAGTTGATACAGTTCTAAATTTTACATTATTTTTTATTTTATCTGCTCAGAATTGTCCACAGTATTCCATGTTAAGTCTCAGTGGTGCCGTAGTTGGTAGCATTAATATTCCTGTATTTTTTTGCAGGAAATAACTTCCAGCATACTGTTTTCCACAACCATTTCCTATGGTGGTTTACTACAACTAGTGTGGGATCACAAAGTTTTCTGGATATCTCTTCTCTTACATACCTCTGTTTTCCAGCTAAAAAGCTTCCATCTTCAAGCTGCAGTTCTTGCTAGTATGGAAGTGTACAGCCTTGCATTTTATACTGTTGGATTTTTGTTCTATTTCTAAAGGTCCAGTAATCAGTGTCATACGCGTTCTTTCTTTTTCTGAGTATATATATGGAAGTGCAAGTCTCTGAAGCATCAATACAGAAGAGTATTGCTAAAAATTTTTGTTAGTGTATCCTGCTTTTGGGACCATGATAACTGTTGCCATTTTTATTTTGCTATTTTATTATAAACCAAGTATTGATACTTTTTATAAAGTTTTCATATTGAAGTTTTACTCTTCTTGGTCTCGTGTTATACCAGGATGTGTTTATAAGGAACTTCTAGTTAGAAGATGTTTTTTCTACTGTAGAGAAATACTGGTCAAAGATCAGTGTATCCTGGCTGTTGATACTCCAGCTTCCTGTTGTAGCTGGAGATTGTGGAACCTCAGTCTCTTCTCAGGTGACTTGTTGACCTAAAAAGTGAAACTTCTGGGCTGTGTGTTGATTCTTACAAACTATGAGCTTCTGTTACTCAGCTTAGCAGCCTCTCTATCAAGGGTCTTCAACAAATTCAGGTGAGAGAGACCTGTCTGAACTGTGCATCTTGGTCTAGTCAGGATCAAGAGATGTCATCCTGAATAAAGAATGCCACACTTGTTTTCAAGTTGGTGCTGCTTATAAGTAAGTTAAAATACTTGATCTTCAGCCTACCAGCATGTTCAGGCTTATAACCCTCCTTCCTGTGATACCTGAGACTATTGCTGAGGAAGTTGGCAGGATCTTGAGTGGGCGAAAGGTCTTAAGGTGATGCTATTGCTAGTGCATATTGAATTTAATGTAAACGCGTTAGAAATATGGTTGAATCTAGTAAACCTTGGCAATAAAATCAGGTTTTTAAAATATTTGTCTGTTGATACAAATTTACTCAATGCTATTCAAGACAAGTTTCTTATGTGCAATTCTTTACTTCTTCCCTCACTCCCACATTGAAATAAGGCAGTTAAAGACACTTTTTGACTTTTTGGAGTTGGGCTATGAATAAAAATGGCTAATGTTCATCTCTACAAAATTTTCCAGGGAAGAGTTACTTAAGTCTTGCTTTTGTGAATGTAAGTTTTTTTTTTTTTTTTTTTTCCTTGTAAACTGTTGTCCTCCTGTATTTCTTTGTCTTTAGCACCAAAATAGTGTTCTGTGTTTATTTTAGCTAATCAGAGAAATTGGTGGCATAAACTTAAAGAAGAATGAGCCTCCACTCACCTGCCCTTACAGCCTGAAAGCTAGAGTTCTGCTTTTGACTCATCTTGCCAGGATGAAAGTTCCTGAGGTCCTTGAAGAAGGTAATGGCTTCTCCTATAATTGGATATTGTTGGAAACAGGGCGATACATTGCATTCTTGTCCGTTAAAGAGTTGCATAGATCTCTGCTCAGTAATCTCTACGCAGTGTACCTAGTTTTTCAACTTTAATGACTCTTTAAACACTTACTTAACATTTACATACTGTCTTACTTACTTGAAGAATTCATGCTGTTTTACTAAGACTGGTAAATTTTCTGTGCGATCCTGTTGTTTTTTTAGATGGGTATAATAAGTACTTTTTCATTTAGTGTGGAAGCTGCTTGTCTGGTATACAAAATTTGTGCTCCTTTCCACTTACTCTTTTCTGGTTTGTTAGGGACTGTTAAACAGGTGTATCAATGAGAATGAAGTGTTTTCAATAATACAAGAATGAATAGAAATTAAGACTGCACTATTAAATGTCCAGTTCATGTAAACTGTCTCCTTTTTTCCTAATAGAAGTGCAGCATAATTGCAGAAGTTATGTCTTGCAGATCAGCAGTTTATCCTGAAAAAGAGCCCTGCACTACTTCAAGAAATGATTAATGTGATCTGCCAACTAATAATAATGGCTCGAAGCCGTGAAGGTAAGAAAAGAAACTATAATTAAAACTAGTAAATACAATTCTTCATTGCAATACTTCATAAACTTTTTGCTTCTTGTAGAAAACTTAACCTGTGATATTTAGAAATGCCTGAATGCACTTTTGTTCTCTTTACTGTACTAAGCTCCCTATTTAGGGGGTTGAAATGCTGCTGCCATTGCCAAGCTCGACTCTGAAATCTTGAGTATGTGTTCAGCTTGTCATTTTTGCAATTAAAAGTTTCTCCTTAAATGCAATTGAAAACCTTTTCTTAAAGTTCTGGTCTATTTTCAGTACCAAAGCACGTAGTATAAACCTTGTATTCATCCGTCTGTTCATTTCCACTTTTACAGTTCTTCCTCTCCCGAGTGTCAGTTGGTTTTGGATCATTTCTTTGTCATAATTTCTTTGTATGTTGCTCATACTTCTCTGTTTCAAGATCCTGTGCTGCTTAGCCTGCTACGTAGGTTTTTTTTCTGAGCTTGTAGGGGCAGGTGCTTTACTGTAACTGCAGTGAAAATTACAATTTAATTGAAATATAATATTCAAGCTTTTTTTATTTTTACTATAAAGAGGTAATTATGCTGAAGATAGTTGCTTGCAGTGTAAAGAAACAAAGACCTGGATCTCACTCCTTTATTACAACAAGCATAGGCAAAACATTTTTCTATGCCAAACTGGTGACCATTTTATTTGCTTTTATTATTAAAGTATTTGTCAATACTTTATTTGATAAAGTATTATCAGTCTTTGCTAAAATATTATTTGGTTTTATTATTAAACTATTTATCAATACTTTATTTGATAAAGTATTATCAAGTAATACTTTATTGGCTGATCTTTACTATACTCCTTTAACAAGCACTGATAACTGCCCAACAGGGATGGCTTTGGGGAAGTTCTTTCCCAGCACTTTTGCAGGTGGTGCTGGAAGTTGTGTTCCATGATCAAATAACGTACGTTAGAGGGTACGTGAGTATATGAGATGTTGTGTACTGACTTAGGTGTCCTATTTTAGAAAGAAGTATTGATGGATTTTAAACCGTCTTCACTAGTCTGTGAGACTGCTTGGGAGAAATCTCAAAACTGAGAAGTAAACAGCCACATTTTTCATTGTAGAAGTAGTCTTCACCTAAGACTAGATTGTACTTATTTATTTGGATTTGTTATTTGCAAGCAGCAAATTTTAATTTGTGTTAATAAAAAATTTGATACTATTTCTGTTAAAGTTCAGTGTGTTTTTACTTATTGCCAAGCTTTTTCCAGCCTGGTGGAAATGTGGCAATTGTGAGCTACCTTTAGATAAAATGTCTTGTACTCTCTTGCCTCATTTTTGCATAGTCAGACTTTCTCTTTACATTGCTGAAAATACAGCTCTGTCATCTCTTCTTTGCATCCATTGTTTTGTGACTATTAGCTGGTAGTTCGTAATCATCAGGTCTAAATTATCTTCATGTCTTCTTTGAGATCGTCCTTAAGTATCACAAGTAAATAGCCACCCTGCCAAGCAAGGTGTTTATTGCCAAAAACATGGAATGTCTTCTAGTAGCTGGCTACAGAAAGGTTAGACATCAGTTCAGCTGTCCAGTCGAAGTGCCTTTCTCATTCGGGTTGGAAGCTGCAATGTAATGTAGAGCTTGTAGTTTGACCCAGGTATATACCATTTCCTCACAAACAACTGTTATTTGCATTTAAATTTGTGATTGACTACTTTCATGTCATATGTTTTGGATGAGTTTATGACCTCAGGTCATCTTGTCTTTTGCACTTTGACAAGCAGAAGCCATCAAACTATGCAGTAATGGCATTCATTTTATGCTGGGGGCAGTTGGGTGTTAAAACCTATACTGTCCCCAGATTCGCTCTAGGAGAATATAAAGTCTTGTGTTATTTTTCAGGAATACAAAAGCACTGTTCTCCAACTTTGTTAAACATTTTTCTGCTGTTGTGTGGGTGATGAGTCAATGCTTTAAGAAAAGGAATAATTTCTACTCTGACTAGTGCTCTGTGGTCTCAAAGCTCTAGGTCAATTTTGTGAAAAAGCCAGTTTGTCAGAGAATATTTAGGATTCTTTTATTAACTTGGTTTGCAGTGTGGTGCTGGCTTGTCTTTTTT